TTTTTTCAAAACTGCTTTTTTTCAAAACTTTTTCTTCACCTTAATACATAAATTTTAGAGAACAACTGCTGCAGTCTTGATAAGAATTATTTAAAATCTACAAATCAATTTGGGGAGAACAGACATCTTTATTTACAAACTGAATCCTCTGAGCACAGTGTATTTCTCCATTTATTTAGATCTTCCTTCACCAGTACTCTGTAATTTTCAGCAAGCAGATCCTCCTCAATGTTTAATTAATTAACTAAGCATTAATTGGGGGGGGGTATTATATGACTACAGTACATGTTTTAAACTTTGGCTATCTTTCTTTATTGTTAGGTTATAGAAATATGATAAAGGAAGAAGGCTCCTAATATCCTGTTACATTGGTGATTGTACTATCTAATTCTATGAGTATTTGTGAGTTTTTATTTTCTGTTTGTTTTTTGGACTGCTTGCATTTTCTACATAAATAGTTGTGTTAGGTGAAAACAGAGGCAGTCTTGTGTCTTCCCTTCCAAAATAATGCTTCCGTATTATTCTTTTCCTCCCTTCCACCAGCTAGGACTTCTAGCACTCTGCTGAATAAGTGGTGAGAGTGAACAGTCATGTCTTGCCCTAGTCCTGATAGAAAACGTTCAGTCTTTCAAGATATGTGTGATGGTAGAGATAGGCATGTACTCAAGTGTCAAAGAACAGGTTCTTTGAAGACAAAGTTCAGTGGAAGACAGGTCTCAGAGTAGAGAAATCTACTGTTTCGCCAACCTAGTGTCCTCCCTCCTCTGTCATGCAGCAATACTTTTTTTTTCTCTCTGAGGGAGTCAATTTTCTCCCTCATTTATGGTTCTAATGCAGAGGACAAGTTTATCAGGTCTGGTCACTTCATCTACCACATCCTCTAAGTGCTTAGTTCAAATATGGAATTTCTTTGAAGTTATTTTGCAAAAGATTTTTTACCAATACATGGACTGATCAAAACCTGGCCCAAATCCAGTCTGCTATAAGCTTCTATAAACAGTTTTATTGAAAGACAGCCATACTCATTCACTCTGCTAATATTTTAAATTACTTGCTACATAAATCACAGTTTTTAACCTGTAGCCATATTCTAAAGAAATGCAGAATGTCTTCATGGTGTTAACACTGTCTGTGGCTGCTTTTGAACTAATACAGCAAAATGAAGCAGCTGCAGCAGCCATCATGTGGCCCACAAAGCCTAAGGTACTATCTGGCCTGTCTCATACTTTGTTGACCCCCATTTTTTATTTTTTATTTTTTGTCTTTTTGAGACAGGGTCTCCCTGTAGTCCCAGCTGATCTGGAACTCACTATGTAGACCAGGCTGGCCTCAAACTCACAGAGATCTGCCTGCCTCTGTCTCCCAAGTGCTGGGATTAAAGGCGTGTGCCACCACACCCAGCCCAATTCTTTTTTTCTTTTTAATGTATATGGGTATTTTGCCTGCATGAAATGCCTGCGGAGACCAAAAGAGGGCTTTGGATCCCCTGGAACTGGAATTATAGAAGGTTGTTAGCTGCCATGTGGGTGCTGGGAACTGAACTTGGGTCCTGTGCTAGAGCAGCCAGTGCACTTAATCGCTGAGCCATCTCTCCAGCTCCAACCCTAATTCTTAATAATAAGATATAGTCTGGGAATATAGCCCAGTGTAGCACTTGCACAGCATGTTCAAGGCCCTAAGTTCAAACTCCAGTTATCATAAAAAAGAATAAGATGTAAATTTGTGGCATGCCTGCACTATGTAGTGAGACATGATGATGATGGTGGTGATGATGAAGATGATGATGATATGTAAGTCTAGAATAGGTAGGAAGCCTCTCACTATAATGTAAGGAATACACTGGAAAGCAAAGTCAACAGAAAAGCAACAGCCAACTCCAAATATTATATAAGTTATCAGATTCAGATGGGCCAGAAAGTACTACACCCTAGTATTTTCAGTTACATAACCCAGAAAACCCAGCTTTTTCTCAAGCAAGCTTGAACTGGGTCCCTTTCATCTGAATGGAAAGATCACATATTTACTATGGATAAAAATCCATAATGTTTAATGTCAAAACACAGCTCCAATTTCTTCTTCTATCATATGCCCATCAATATCATGAAGGCATTCAACATGTCTTTAAACTATAATGTGACTATATGCTAAAAACTGTGAGACAATTAACATGCTACAAAATCAACTAAGTTGAGGTTTATTTAGATCTCCCAGTCACCTTAAGGTGTTATTAAACAATGAAGAAACAAAAAGAAAAGAAACTAAAATTATTTCCCACCACTTCCAAAAATATTCCAGTACTACATACTGGAAAAAGGTAAGAAAACACAAGACAGGTGCCCCCATTAATACCTCCCCCAAATGAGACCGGCTTGAGAAAGAGCCAACTAGAGAAAGCCAAAATTCCCAAGGGGACAGATGTAAGGAATTAGGGAGGTGGTGATTAGAACTGGAGCTGCTAATTATCTGCTAAGCATTGAGTGCTATAGACTATTCCCTAGAGGCTATGGGCAAATGGGAGACAAAATTACCCCTGCTGTTACTGTCAATTACGCAGTCCTCATTTGTCTGTATTTATCTTTCCCTTTAGGAAAATAAAAAGCACACAGAAGTATTGCTGTCAATGCAAGCTATATGTTCCTGTGAGGAAACAAGTTTATATAATGTTTAGATAAAGTTACTTTGTGTTTGAACTTGTTATTAATGTGTACATTGTAGAGCAAGGAGATGCTTCTTTCAATAGCATACTTTCCATCTGCACAGGCCAGATGTTAATCTGTGGGAAGACTGAAATGGTTAGTAAGAGACCAATCACACACAGCACAGAACAAGTATCAAGTGGTATAGAAGGGGTGTAAGAGAAAGATTAAAATGGAGATGGTGGAACAGATTTACAACTTGAGCTGGGGGCACTGGGGAGTTTGTTTGTTTGTTTGTTTGTTTTAAACCATATCAAGAACATCCTGCCATAAGAGAATTTTTGAGATTTCTTCCCCTATGAGTTTGAGAGTCAGAAAAGGTACTGCAGAAGTTACTGAGGATGAATTCTTAGAAGGCACCGTGAAAACTAATCTCCATTAAAGGTAAAGACCGGATATGTCTAGGGATAGACAAGGGTTCACACTTTAGCTGTGCCACTCAGGTGCCACTGGTGGAGACTGCCAGTCATCCACAGCATTCTTTCTCCTCTTTTTCCTTGAAGTGCACTAGGTACTGGGCAGGGCCCATGGCTACTTATATGCAATCTAGATTTTTCCATTCTCCTCTAAAGGTAGATGTGGCCATATCACGTTCACTAATGGAAGTAATATGTGATCTGGGAGGTCCTTCACAATGCTTGCCCTGTATGCTTCTCTATGTCTCCACTTTCTAGTCGGAAAATTGAAATGATAGAACAACCTGGGAAGGCATGGGTTGAGGGTAACCTAATGATTCTGTTGGGTGTGGACTGCCTGGGCATGAGCTCTGACAAATAGGCACTTCTGTCTACTTCTACTACTGCACTGTGGAGTCTCTTCATTCTGTAGTATCCAGGCCTGTTCTCTACTAACATAGTCACTTATTATCTGTGATGCTTAGGGCAAGTTATTTAACCCGAGTAAACTTGTTTTCTCATCTATAAAATGGAATCACAACACATTTTATAAGACACTAAGAAATAAATAGGTTTTAAAATGTAATGTGTTAAATTTTGTGCCACACACACAAAAAGTGCTCAGCTGACAACAGATGATACCACCAAAGATGGAGACATACAGGAAGCTGCTTTGAAGGCCTCTGGTGGGAAGCAGCAACTATGACTGTAAAACCCTAAACACAGAAGGGTTTATCTACTTTTGAAAGTGTTCCTATGGACAACAATGTATTCAAGGAAAATAAATACTGCCTTACATTTTGGCCCAAGAGACGAATTCAGATTGCCATTATAGTTCAGTCAACTTTGCCCGATCTTTAAATAATTACTTTGATATTGCTCTATAGTATTAACCGCTATATAAACACTAGTTATTACTGTTAACTAGATCAAGTCCCATGTTTGTATAAAATACAGCTGGGTAGAGCAACACATCTGTTTTGCCAGATCACCTCATCAGGGTAGGCTGAGAAAGGGGCACAAATGAACTGAGATCATCTGCATGAGGCACCTGGCTTGCACATCATTCTATAGGAAGCAGAGGCCACAGTCTGCTTTGCTAGCTCACATTTTCCCCTTTGGATAGTACCTTTATATCTGTTAATTACTGGCCCTCTAACCCTGTAATTTGCTTTTATCTTGCACTGATGAAACATAGCTACACTTTCTCGTAGGATTTTTGTAACCATGAGATTTGCTAACACTGTAGTTGAGATCTTCAGCATTAAGATAAGAGGACTGTTCTGGGACTTCCCCAATGGCTTTCACATGGGTTTTACATATCACAAATTACAGAACAACAGCAAGATTACATCACCCAGCTGAGGCTAGCACCTCTAAAATGGGAGCACAGAGCACACCACCAAGCTTAATTCCTTCCATCTACCTGATAATGTCCCACAACAGGATGTGAGTCGCTATGGCAATGGGAAACCAAACCAGGAGACTACGATAAAAGATGCTGTGTAACCTATGTATACTTTTACAATCATTTATCTCATTATAAGTGGTTGGGATCATGCTTTGCACTCTATTCTGTGAAGGCATATGGTCAACGGACACCCAGGAATCCAAACTGGACTCTGCCTCCTTTAAGACACCCAGGAGCAATACACCTGCATCTGCAAAGGTGGAGATCTGCTGCAGTATCACGAAGAACTGCCTTAGGAGCCAAGGTCAAAGCTCAGAAACTACATACACTCAGAAGCATCATATTATCTGTAAACATCAATCTATGAATAAAAACACCCATGGAACATTGATTTCAAAGACTAATGGCTTTAAAGCAACAGCAAAAATCTCTCACTAGGGAAGCAACAAACTACCCAGGATCTTTATTCTTTCTTTACTTCTCTGAATTGTTACTTACAGGTTCCCGGCCATCCATGGCTTCCATCCAGAGTCTGCGGTCCTCTTCTGACAATGCCTGCATGGTGATAACCCCTGGCCTGTGGAGAAAGGAGAGACAGAGATATGATGGGCCACAGTGCCACATGCAGAGAGACTGGCAAAGGTGAACATTTAAGAAATACCCACTTAAAAAAGAGTGAGAGGATGCTGAAACCAGCAGCAACATGGAGAGCATTGCTACACTCAGCTTTTCTTAGCCACCTCTAGTCTCAGAGAGGAAAGTTACCACCCCATACCCATTTTAATAAACCTATTTCCCTTGAAGAGGCAGAAATAAATACAGGAGATAGAGGCAATGAACACAAAGGAATACAGCAATGTGATCCCTTTAGAGCTTGTTTGTTCCTAAGAATTTCATCCATTTCTATTCTCCAAAATGCTTAACAAGGTGCTTTGCTTAAAGTGGGAGTGCAGTAAATATTTATTATGCTGCTAAGCTGCTTTTGACAGTGAGTTTTATGAAGTGAATTGGGTTTGTAATTACAATTATATTAAATGTATATAATTTTTAATGACAAACCAGCACCTACCACCAGCTCTTTACAATGAGCACAAGTCCTCCAAACAGCACACATACAGCATCATGTTTGCTGGGTTCCCTTTACAGACAACACTCCTCACAGAAAAGACTGGGCCATAAAATGACCTCAAAAGAAGGTCACATATTCCTTAAAGCAGGGCTCCTTTAGTGAGCTATGGTCCCACATAAAACATTTCCCCTCTACACATATATGTTTATCTGTAGAAACAATTTAATCTATCAGATTGCCAAAGTACACTGCAACTTTTTAAAGTTTCAGCATGGATGGGGGAGGGATTCAAGAAGTCCCACCCCTAGCTGAGAAATTACTAGCAGTTGATGGCTACTCGGGGAGGGAGAGTCGATTTTTTCAGGAATATATAGTAGTTGTCCATGCTCCACAGTTGATCCTACACCCAGGCATAACCGCAGTACTAAATAGACTCGAGGGTTTTAAAAGGAGTACAGGAAGATGGCAGGGAGAAAGAATGGAGGGTGGGGTATGAGAGGAGTTGGAAAAGGAGGGAGTCTAGGTGGACTTAACCAAAACACAGTGTATACGAGCATGACATTCTCAAACAATAAATTCAAAAATTTTCAAAAAGTTAAAAGTAGTTCTTTGACACCCGCATCTTCAAAGTTTCAAGATCCTGAAAGACAGGAAGAGAGCAATCAACTAGAACTAATGAAAAATTGCCTTCTGTGTCCACATGCCCTGCTGAAGATCCCCAAGCAGTCTAGTATTAAAACCATCCAAGTCAGAAATCGAAACATCAAGCCTCTTCATGCTAGTCTCTACAATCCCTGTTCCTCATTGGTTTCCACTGTTCTATCAGTAGGATAAGCCCGTATATATTTAAACATATAACCATGTCTTTTCACCCACCTCCCTCATCACCTTCTTCTCTACACTTTTCAAAGCTGCAAGAACTGGTGACTTAGAAATAAAAATCCTAAGAAGTTTCAGTCCACTACAGAGTTCTCAAGTCCTTAGGCCAAGATCTTTGAGTACTGTACAAGTTAGTTAGTTAGTTAGTTAGTTAGTTAGTTAGTTAGTTAGTTAGTTTGGGGGATGTTAGGAACATGAGATGGAGGGGTGTGGATCTCTGTGTGTATCTATGTGCAGGGGTGGGGGGAGCACAAATACAAGAATACAAGCAAGAAAGACAGAGATAGATAGGGAGGATACACGTGGTTGAGAGTGTGTTGAGGATGAAGACATTGATTCCTGAAAGAGTAATCATTCCTTGAAGCCACAATGGGTACTAGCACCATAAGAGAAAGGTGATGCCAAAGACAGAGTAAGTCTTCTTCCCACAAACTTCTACCAGGTCTCTCCTTTTCTCAAACTCAAATGCCCACTTCCCTCCAGCAGCCCATTTGGTATACCAGACTCCTTGGGTATGTGCAGACTGTTCATAGCCATGGCTCCACAGGAACTGATCCCGTGGCCTAGGAACACAGCACATTTGCTGTTTCCCTTCCACCTTTCAAAACCAAGCACAAAATGGCTTTGGAATTGGTGACTTAGAAATAAAAATCCTAAGAAGTTTCAGTCCACTACAGAGTTCCGAAGTCCTTAGGCCAAGATCTTTGAGTACTGTACAAGTTTGTTTATTTGTTTGTTTTTATCAGTACCACCTGCTTCTGAGTCAAGCAATCCATTAAAAACCTAGATTCCCTGCCCAATCCCATATTACTGTAGCTGAACTTCTAGGCTGGGCCTGGGAAACGAGTTTAAGCATCTCCCCAGCACTGTATCCAAGGCACAGCTAAGTCTAAGGCCAAGCTGTGGACTGCCTAATCTAGCCCCACACTTTTCTTTCCTGGTCCCACTGCACTGAAGAATACAAATACCCTCCTCTCTACAATAAGATCAAGTAGCCAACACGCCTCCAATTCATTTCCTGGTGGGAAACTATTTTAAGCACAAGAGTTGCCCAAATACCAAGAGTGCAGGAGTATCCAGATGTCACACAGACTTCATAGCCCAAGTCATGAAATTTCCACTCAGAGCCACCAAGAGAAAGTTCAGAAAAACTCAAAGGCTGAGCAGGGAGGGCCACTTGGCCCTGGTAACTAGGAAAGTCAACAACATTTGTTTTCACTTCAAAGAGATATATCAAAATACAAGTTCTTTCCCACATGTGGGCTTGCTGCCAGTTGCAGGGCGAGGGGGAATGGTAGAAGGTAGACGAGGAATAAAGTGGACCTAATACACATTTAGTTTTAATTCTGTTCCCCAAATTCAGACAGGTTTCTCTCAGCCTCACATATGTACATCTGGATACAGCACTATACAGTCTAGGCATCTAGAAAACACTTGTTTTTGTTTTTTTCCTTCATTACATCTTACTTGCATGTAACTTTTCTAGAACTTGAGGCAAAAGGGTCAACTTTGTCTCTTTTGGAATCAAGCCATAATTTTCTCCTTATATTTACCTTCCCTAGTCACCTAGGTTAGCAACACCCCAAACAAATTTAAAACAAGAAAAACCATCAATGATGTGACACTTTTCCATGTCAGTCTCCATAAGATAGCATATTTGGGGGTCTGGAGAGATGGCTTAGTGGTTAAGAGAACTGGCAGGTCTTGCAGAGGACACTGACAGCTAACAAACGTCTTTAAGTCCAGTTCCAGGGATCCAACCTAGACCCTCTTCTGACCTCTATGGGCACTGCACACATGGGTGCACTTATAGTATGCCAAACACTCATACACATAAAATAAATATAAATAAAAATTAAAGATAGCACACTTTCAAACTTTCTCTTAACAGCACGTTGATTTAGTTCATGTTTGAGATATATGTGGGTTTTTTCATAGCAAAAATGGGAAAAGGAAGAAGGGGAGAGAGAGGGGGACGAGACATGGGACATGGAAGGAAAATATAAAACAATGGGAGAGAAAAGGAGTACATGATCAGAACTTGTCCTAGCTCTACATAGAATTATGATCCAGTAACATATAAAACAACAACAGTTTACCCCAGCACTGGCATCAACTGCTGTATGCCAACTCCATAAATTAGTCTTCACATTTATATTATGAGCTAAGTGTGTTCTCATCACTCCCATTTAGCAGATGAGAAAACTAAGGCTCAGAGAGGGAAGTACTTTCTCCCTGATTACAAAGCCAGCAAGTTACAGAGCCAGGATATAAACACAAGAAATCTAACTCTTAACTCTGGTACACAATGCCATTCAAATGTGGAGGGGCCAGATCCCCTAGAGAACTTGTGCTTATTATCCAAGTCCTCTGATGTCAAAACTGACCAAGAATTCCTGCAGCTCCTTTAAGGAGCTCCTGCATGCACTCAAATAAGAATGACAAATTGCTCTGTAAACCCAAGTGCTTCATAAATATAAGGGTTAAGACTAGCACTCTAGGCAAATGGCAATCCACAGCCAAAAATCCAGTAGTGCCCTGTATAATTGGGGCTGGCTTTGCACAGTAGTGGTTCTCCACATTTTTTTCTGCCTCAAAATAATAGAAAGAAAAAAAATGCAATGATTTTTTTTTCAAAGAACACAAAAGATACTATCATAAAGAAAAAATATATACTGGCAAGTTAGACCTCGCCAAAATAAAGAAGATGCATTTACCAAAAGATAATATTAAGAGAATGAAAAGGTGAAGGTTGGGGATATAGTGGAGTTGACAGAGTGTTTGTCTAGATGGATGAGGCACTGGGTTCCTATTGGGATAAGTCAGGAGTGCCTGGAATGCAGAGCACGGCCAGGCTGGAGACCTCCTAGTGAGGATGGCTCGAAACTGGCCCACTCCATTCTAGATACACTGTCTCTTGCCCAACAACCCCCAAGCAAAACTGTTAGGTCTCTAATCCTTTAATCCTAACCAGGTCTCTTGTAGATCATGTGACTGGACAACAGGACAAAGGCCACATAGCCTTAGAAGCCTCCTCCCTCCCCCTACCTGCCTGCCAAAAACCCAACCCCACCTCTTTGCCCACGAAACTTTCCTATATAAACCTCTACTTCTGCCATAATAAATGAGCTGTCCACTGACACAGTCTCCCGGGTGTTTTTTCCCGTTGTACTTGCTGCCGCCCGGGGCCCCTCTCACCCCATCAGTCTCTCTCCTCACTCTGACCTTCCATGATGGGGACCACTGTGCAAAGATCTCCTGGTGGCAACAGAGTTCGGGCCAAGGGGAGGCTGACAGCTGGTGCCCAACATGGGGCTAGAGAGAGGCTCTCCGGAACACACAGAAGGGTGAGTACTCCGCAACAGAGGGACATTAGCTACTAAGCCTTAGCCATCCTGCTCTGAGGATCGGCGTTCTCTCCCTTCCCCCTTTTACTTTTGGTTTGCGCCTTCAAGAGGGACTGTTCAAGACAAAAGAGCAACTGAAGCTTCCTGATCAGCGCCACTCTCTGATATTAGCCAAAGGCTCCTAGTCCTCTGAATGGACCCCACTGCCCATCCAGGTGTCGACAAAAGACCTCCTATCTATAGTCTCTCTACTGCAAAACCCAGTAACACAACAACCAGTTA